CTCCCTTTTATAGTCTCAGAAAATCCACACTGACATCTCAGGTTGTGCAGGTCAAGGACACATTTCCATGGACGTCTGTGCAGGCCCACAGTTTTGCTAGAACAATTTTGCTAGATTCATTTCTAACCCTGTCTCTCTGCAAGTCTGCTTCACACACAGAGATTTTTAAATTTTTGTGACAGAATGAGATATGGTCACAGGAAAACAGGATATTATGATTTGATTAGGAAATATCCTTCAGAGGTTCTTTCTGCTTCAAAGGGTTTTTTTCCCCTCTCATTGTAGTCCCATGGATAATAGCTATCCTTGGTTTTGTACTTTTTGTAGTTTTTTGATTAACCTGAAGCATGTCACTCCTATCTATGTATTTTGGGGTGACCTTTAACATCTCATTTAAGACATTTAGAAGGAATTTCTCTTTAGAACTCAAGCACAGATTTAATGCAAAATGAAATCTCCAAGGAAAGAATTAGTCCAAAAACCTCTCTGATTTACAATGAATTTTTGCCAAACGCAAAAAATTGAATGATTGAATTTGCATGCTGGAGCATCTTTAGGAGTTTGTTGATTTATCCTGGCTTAGGTTTCACTATAGCTAATCAGTGAACACAGAGGTTTTGTTTAAGAGTCCTTCCCATCATATGAAGGATTTTCTCAGCCCTTTGTCACTTCATGTAGCATTGTGAAGCGCTAAATAACACTCGTACACTCTCCTGCTGCTTCATAACACCTTGGTTTAAACAACCCTGAAATCGTGTTATTACCAAAATCTTTTGATTACTTCTTAAGAGAGTGTAGAAAAACCTTTGTTTAGGAGATCAATAATGTCCTTTATGATGTTTCTGGATGGATTTTCAGTTATGGCAGCCAAAGTTAAGCCTCTCTTGGGCTTTGGTACTGACATGCGAGATACACACCTGGTATCTGTGAAATCTGTGGACTTTTGAAAGGAAGGGAATGCTAGGTAAGTGCTTTCCTTTCTCTGTTCTATTAGTATGCACTTTTTCTATTAGTATTTAAATTTTATTTGCCTTTTTCATTAAACAAGCTCAGTTAAAGAGGTTCCACAAACAAAATTAACATGCTCAATCCTAAAAGAGCAAAGCTTAGCCAATTTGGATGAAATAAAGGAACAAGTATTAGATAGTCCTAAACAGATTATCTGCACAGTATTAAATTTAATCCTCATTACTGTTAATAGCAAAAGCACTACTAACAGCATCTCTGCATCAAAAGAAAAAAAAAATCTCTCTTGGATCGAAATCCAGGTAGCCATACAGGTACTGCACCAAAATCACAAAACACCTGCCAAGCCACTTTTAAACCAGGTCAGTCTTTAACCGGCTTCTTGGATTTTCATCTTCACTTGCACAGAAGAGGGTTAAGTCTGTTCTTTGCAAAGATTTTTGGCATGATCTTTGATGACAAATGACATGCTACCATATGCCAAAAAAGAAGGGGAATACAGTCACCCCCAGCTTCAACTTTAACTGGAGTTACTTTGTTCTGAGTGCCCTGAATAATTAATAACTACTTTGGCAATCAGTCATGCATTCTTTAATGGCACCTCAGGCATCAAGTATGCCATTCACCCGCTCCCCAAGTAACAATGGACTTTATTACATCAAGTTTTCTTTGCCAAACTTGTAACTGACATAAGTTAAACTAAACAAGGCACTAGGAAGACTGAAGCCCAAATATATATTATAAGAGTTTATAAGGTTTCCCTCAATTACATGTGGCTACTATGTGGATTAGAGTTGTAACTGGGGGCAAGTGAGAAGAAGGGGAAAAGAAATGAAATATGGATTGTTTTTGCAATAAAGTACTAGAAGGCTTTAGGTGGTATAGTGCTGCCAAAAACATGACTTTTAATAAATGCATAGCTGAACAGTCAAAATGCAGAACAACCGCTAAGCAGCCCTTCGTGAATAAAGCAGCTCACCAGTAAGCACAAACTAAGTGACAGGGCAGAGCATAAAAAGAATGACTAAGAATAACAGCTGTGCTGAAAGTAGCATAATAGTTTTGAAATAACACAAACTACATTTTCTTAGTAAGAATAAGATTTTTCAACACTTCCTTCCACTTTACGGTATCCCAGACAAAATTAACTTGCAACTATACAACAGAGGAGACAAAAGTGGACTTAGACCAGAGTTATAGAAAGTTCTATATGTACCCAGGGTACACAATTTAAAATGGAAGAAATTCAAATAATTAAACTGTAATTAGCTAGAATCCAAAGAAAAGCTTCTTGTTTTTCCCAGGGAGCATTCTGCTTGTATATAGTATGTGCACTGCATTATACGGTGCCTTACAATCCCACGGTAAACCTTTCTAAAAAATGATGTATCTATTGACACTGGAACTGCTCCGAGCCTCTTTGAGTGACTAAATCTTAGAAGTAAAGTAATCAGATCAATAGTCATTCTCCCCCTACTTATTCATCATGTGAAATGTTGGTTTGAAATATAATATACAAAGTAAAAATATATATATACAATAAATTACAGCAGATTTAAACAAAGCCATTTCTCTTTCTCTTTAAAAGACCTGAAAATGTGTCCGGTGCCCCTCTCTGTGTGTGGCCTCCAAATACAGAAACAAGCTTGCACTGTTTTATTTCAGTTTTGCTTCATTTCTCCCCAAACAATCTCTCATTGCTAGTCTACCAGGCATCTCCCCCTCCCCCTCTTGTCAAAAAATGAGGGGGGCGGAATTAACTGTTTAGGACCAATTCAGTGATTCATTTCAATAAGTGAATCAGTTATATTTTTGCAAGAATTATTTAAAATTTACACTCATTCCTATAGCTGACATTTTTTTTTTGGGGGGGAAGGGGGCTGTAAATTTTAGTTTCTCTTGAAATGTTGGATGAGATAGCATTTTAAAGAAAAACACATTTTTTTGGCATCAGTTTTCAATTGCTTTAGGTACAAGAAGCAGGTCTAATCCTGACACTCATGAAACAGCAATATGTATTTCATTTACAATCTGCAGTCTGAAATGTGAAATTGTATTTTGCATGGCTTATTAAGACAGAATTTTTGATGAAAAAGATCACAACCCTTTTAAAGAGAGATTTGGAAATTAATCCTCACAAACCAATAAGCAGTTGTTATACTGCACATTTTGGGGCTAGTTCTGAATTCCTATGACATGAAGGGGGCTGCTCTTGCCTGTTACATGTGTGAGAGATAACATGCTTGGTTTCTAAAACATTTTGTATGTATGCTTCTTATGCTATATAAGCTTTGTTAATGGAGAAAAACGGGGAACTAAAAATGCATCCTACGATGTCAGCTCTGTTTTTGTCTATTGAATAAGTGATGTAAATATTTTGAAGATTAAATTGTTTTGCAAGTGTTGATAAATTAAATGTTATAACTAATTTTCCCCATCAAATGTCAAGGAATAAATTCAGTCCATTTGTACAGCATGGCATAAAGATAATTATACTCTAATATTTTTAGGTGCCTTTGTTTAATCCATTCCACAGAAATTGGATCATACATAAGTCAGATAGAAATGTAGCAGGTAGGATGCAATACTAGAGCTGCAACAATGAAATTTGGCATCAGCCCACAAATACATCTATTTAGGGATTTTCTTTTACCAATTTCTAAAAGTAAACATACTTATTACATTCTGCCCTCAGGTGTACAGAAGTTTAAACCTGGCCATATTTTAAGATGTCTCTTTGGAGACTGATTGACATTTTATTTAATTTCAAAATTCATCATTATCTGGTCATACTATTCTACTAACAAAGGGGTCTAACTCACAAAAGAGTCAAATATGCAGATCAAACCTTTAATCACTTTAGGAATAGTTCTTAGGTAGGCCTAAATATTTAAAAATATTTATAGGAAAACAACAGAAAATAACCTATATATATGTACACACACACTACTACACTTTACTGACATCATCATCAGTATGCTAAATATATTACGTAGAAGATTATGTATCGTTGAAAAGATATGCGGAATTGTTCTTTGCTTCTTCTCAGTAACTGAAGTTTTGCAAATGGGAGAAGAGGCAAAAATGGCAAAAGCAACAAGCAAGCCAAATGCATTTTGAGTGAAGCACATGTCAGTGGGGTTACAACATAGATTCTTTTGATCAATTTTTTATTGAGCTTGCAGATATTTTCCGGCAACCAAATACCACAGACCACAAGATTACTTAGGAGATTCACAAAGTGAATTATGAGGAATTTAACAAAAATACTCCTTACTCTCTTTAAATATGGAATACCTATTCTGAAACAAATCAACCCCTGTTCTGCGCCACTCTAATGTTTCATAACATTATCTCATCCTTAAAAATCTATAAACATTGTTTTGCTATCACAGATCTCTCATTTGGTGAAAAAAGGTAACAGAAATCTGTTTACAGTGAAAACAGTCATATTTTAGACAATGACTATTGTTTAATACCTGCGATTTACAAGCAGTAAGCAACATTCAAGAGAAGTCTAAAGTTACAGTTTCCAGGGATAATGCAATGGAAAATGAGTATTACGCATTGTCTGCTTTGTTACTATAATAAAACAATCCAGAAGCATAAGAAATTTTCTGGTTTTCAACTAGCTATAATCATTTGGCTGTGTATGTCTAATAGCAACTGACTAATAAAAACATTAATTTCTTCAATCTTCTTTGTAACTTATGCTGATTTTTCTTCTTCTCAAAGCTAGGAAAAAAAAAAAATCTTTTTCACAGTACTGTATTAGGAATGCAAACATTTTATTGACGTGTCCGCACAAACAACCGAGCCCACAACTTCCCACTCCAAAGCCATCCAAGAAGAACCACAAGAACACTCAGTTAGTTAAAAAACAGAAACAAAATGTACAATTCTGGAAGACAGCTTGCTTATTATTATTAAGAAATAAATAGTAATTAATCCTAAGCTATTAAAAGATTCTTTTGAGCTACCACTTCAAAGATTTTGTTTTCCTGAAATGTTCCAATCTGAAACATGTTACTTACTGGCATAAGAAGTGTATAATGGATGCAGAATCCAGGTTCAGAAGGAAAATATTCATCAGACACAAATCTTATTCTGATCTGGTTTCCTTTGGAGATTTGTCTGCTTGGCACACTGGTGGAACCACACCAGCGCCCTAAAACAGTGCCATCACTAGGCTCTTCGACTTCTACAAAGTCATACCTGAACAAAAAAGAAAATCAAATGTTTATTTACTGATAAAATTTCTGTAAACTTCCTACTTTAATCAATAAACTGACTCTGCAGTTTGCAATTTTTTTTTTTTTTTTAATGCTCAAAGTATGCTACCAAAGCCAGCTATTTTAAACTTAGCTTCCAAGTTGCTACTGGCTTAAATACATAATAAAATCATGCAGTGAGGTTAAAAAAATAAAGGCAGAGTTAGCATTTTGAAAAGACCCAGGAGTATGGTTTTGTTTGCTCCTTTTATGGAAAGCAATTACAACATGTGGGATAGGGCAGAATAAAGTCAGAGAAAAAAAAGATTGAAATTGCCTAAGTGTGGCACAGTACTGCAATATCACTAGCAGTATACTGCATGTCCCCACTGAAAGTTCAGGGGCTTTTTGGTACGGAAAACTTGCCCTCGTGTAATACCAGTGGTGAATAAGCTCCTGAAGGTTAAGGTGGCTTAGGTAAACTCGGAAGCACATTTTGAGTTTATGTATATCCCAATGAGACATTTGTGGAGCAAAGACCTAGACGTGCTGCGTGTCAGAAAAAAACTGAGATTTTGGTAATACTGACAAGAGAGATATGGGTTGGGAGCTTTGAGAGAATGAAACATATTAAGTCTGATTTAGATTCATTGGTTTTTAACATGTGGTCTGGGTATCCCTGGGGATCTGTGAACAACTTCAGATGGATCCATGAAAGGTAACTAGGAAATGCCGGTCAATTGTCATCAATAAGCTTCAATACGCCACACAAAGGTCCTCGCTTCCATGGGAAATATTTAGGGGTTCCCAAGTCATAAAAACATTGAAAGCTGCTGCTCTAGAAGGTACGTCTGGTTTCAGTGCTTTAACCTGTTTCATGTCAGTTCCCCAGCTGCCCACTGACAGAATAAACACTAAGCATTTCAGCTGGGTTTCCCCTGCTGCAGCTTGAAACCCTCCGAGCCCCAGCGGCAGCACGGCCCGGTGGTTCGGGAAAGCGAGAGTGCGACGGGTAGAGCATGGCAAGCCTTTGGAAGTTCACAGCTGCAGCTTTCCGAGTCATCGTTTTACTTTTAAACCACAACTTGTATTCTAAGCGCAAGCATAACACTCCTCTGACAAGGTTTCACGATTTCTGGTATTTTTATGTTCTCTTACATGTGTAGTCATATACTAAATACGTCTCATGTAAATCTAAATTGGTAAACAGCATTGAATCCTTTTCAAGGGTACAAACAGCCCTACCTCTGATGGTAGCAAATACTCATATTTTAAAAAACATGCACACACACACTCTACCAAATATGCCAAGCAATAATTAATGTGGAAATCATTACCTCATAAACATTTTCTACTAAAGCTTTTTCTGGATTTTTTTTCAGTAAAGCTAATCTTTATAATGATTCCCAGTTCCCTAGTTAGACAGCAGGCAATAAATTCTTGTGTTGCATGTTTGTGCAAGACTGACTTGCACATTTATTATCTCCATTTAAAGGACCAGTATTTTTTCCACTTAATTAAAAATGAATGCAATGAATATGCTTATTAACTGTGTTCAAAATCCATTACTGCCATCTACCACAGTTTTAAATCTTTGTTGAACTTACGATACTAATTACTTTATCACCATCTTTTTTCCCCCCAAACACTAACTAATTCCTTTAACTGATCCACCAGTGTTTTTATTTTATGATCAGGTATACAACTTATTACAAAGGCAATGTGTACATTAATTGTACTAAGACTTCAGGGCTCAACACATTTATCAAATTGATTTTGAGCACTGATTTTTTTTTTTTTTTAGATCAGTTTATGAAGTTTCTAAAGACAACCTTTTTTAATTTTTTAATTAAGAATATGAAATAATTATCTACTTTTCTGATTTGTAAAGAGTGAATAAGTTAATCATTATGTTTATTGACTTAAGCTTAAGATGTCTAGGGGTCAGGCATAGTATAGGTGTTATACTCTGTATAGCTCACAGAGTACTTTCTATTGCACCTTTTGGTCTCCTGGTAGCCCTGAAGTAAAAGAGAAACTCAAATTTCACAGCTTAAATCTTAGACCCTTAAAATAAATGTTAATTAATTCCATTAGTTGAGAAGTAAAATAGAGGGAAAAAATATTCTGAAAAACCCAAATAAAATTCAGCTTTCTGATATACAAGACAGATCCAGATAATTCTGTTTGTCAGGGTGTTTCTTCTATATTCAGTTCTTTCCTCCTTGATCTTTGCATTGGTATTTCTAAAAAAGCTGTCATTTCTAATAAAAAAAAATTTCTGATTTTTCTGTGTGTTATCAGTGTTACCTTAATTGAGAGGTTTCTCGATCACCCTTCCCCCACCCTAATACCATTCTGATCATCAGAAATCCACTTGTTTCCAAGTGATCAATCTGGAAACACTCTAATCATTATATAGCACTCACTAGTACTGCATCGAAGTGTGCACAATTACCAATATCACTATTTAAGGGATTTACTAAAACCTATTTTATAAGCGAATCGAACGTAACTTTCTCATGGCAACATGGTACAGTACATATGGCATGGTTTAGAGTGATTACTCCCTTTCTGCAATGTCTCCCGCAGGACCTATAGAGGATTTCTGTTCTTTTGTGTTCAAACAACAAGTCTGGTGCTGTAGACAAAAATTTCTGTTTTCAAAAGCAAATAAATGAGATATGAGTATCGGTTTCTTACTGCTGAACACAGATGTAGGTGTAGCTCCCTGCACAATATAGATATTTCACCATCAGCAAGGGGAATCTTTACAAATTCTGTCTACATCAACAGAAAAAAGTCCCTCACATGTTTCCTGGACATAATGACATTTTTAGCCAGTAACTTTATTCCTGTCAGTTATCCAGACTGAATGTGCTGCAAGAGCCTGCCGAAAAGAATCTTCTGTGCAACTGAAATTCCTCGCATTGCACATCTGGACTGAAGTCTGAACTTTCTGTGAAAAGTTACAAAACAAAGTGGTTCAGATGCTTTAGCATTTACAAGATTGTGCTACATAATTCTGCAGCTTCACGTCACAGGGCTAAAGAGCAGCGGGAACAATAACATAGCCATATAAAATTATTTCTCCATCAAGAAAAGCTTGTACTTGAAATGCAAGAAAACTGGGATACATAACCAAGAACTGAGAAGCTATTTTCCATCTGCAATGGAGTAAAAAAATGTTAAAATGCACGTTGAACCAAACAAAGAATCCTTCTTTTTTGTGCAGTGTACAAAGGAGAAAACACAACCCTCTTTGACAATGACTAAAGAAATGCTCTGGTGCTGTATCAATGTCCAATACGTTACTCAAATATTACTAAGTAAAATTTATGACAAAGAAGTAGGCCAGTCTCCTTTCCTGGGATGAAAGACGCTTTCGCCTTTAGTCATGACGCCCAAAATGCCTTCCCTTATACCCACTGCAGAACATGTATTCCTCTTCCCTATGGCCTAGGTGCCTGGGACTGTGGATTGAATTAACAACCCGAACAAAGACAATTTATTGTAAAAGAGCAAGGAAGCGATGTAAGCAACTCTAAACTTCAATGCCTTTCCAACCAGGAAATGTATTTTCCAAGGGAATAGGTTTTCCTCTCCTTTCTATATTTTTTCTGTGGTTTACACTGTCATTTGCTAAACATATTCTGACAGGCTGTTTACCTTGGCTTGCAGTTTTGTGACCTTTTTGTGGCTTCCCTCTGCCTTCAGAATTCCACAAATATATCAATGAATGCAAGAAGCAGAAACCCATGAGGTAAAACACTTTGTCATATCAGTGATGTTAGACCTTTTCATCTCTGTATAGATGTGTGCCACACAAAAATCTAGCACGCCCATTAAAACAGCTTGCAAAAAGTGAACTACATTTTTCCTTCCCCCTTTGTTAAGAATCCATTTCTTTTATTTTTTTTTTAAATTAAGAAATAGGGAGTTGATAACAATCCCTGTCTTTTTTTTTGACAGCATCCTGTGGGATGCTGTAATATTTCTGTTCCAACTTGTTTTGAAGCACATGGAATTCACATGGAAATACACAAGGTTTTCCTGGTGCCGGCACAGCACAACAAAATACCTACCTCAGCTGCAGACCAAAAGCATTCAAGGACCCCTGGCAGTTCACCAGACAAACTGTTATTGAATAGAACTTAGATGATTTATATTTGGACAGCTTCAATTTTGGAAACATTGGAAATTACTAAAAACTGTCATCATGAAAATATCATTTTGATTTTTTTCTAAACAAAATTTTAATGCCATCATTCTAAAGGAAAATTTCCTCTCCCTCTTCCACCTCCATTTGAAATAATTTTCATTTTTGCTGCTGAAATATTTAAAATTCCTATGGAACAAAATTTTGTTTCCATCATTTGACTTAACTGTGTATTTGTATAGACAAAACCGTAAGGGTGTTGGTGACACCTTACATGGTCTTCACCTCTTAGATCACTTTTAAATCACAGCTGTAAGTAATCGTATTGCTTTTTGTGGAATAAACACTATATTTACATACAGAGGAAAGTAAGGCCAAATGTTTAGCTTGAAGACATTTTTTTCAAAGCTTGTCTGCCTCATTTGCAATAAATTCTGGAGGCCTCCTCCAGTCAGCCCAGCTCTCCATAATGTCCTGATGGGCGGATTCACGTTTATCTGGGTGGAAAAGGGAACACTGGAGCACGACAGGGGCACTCAAATCCATGGTATCTAATGGCAGACCCAATCTGTTTAGCCAGCCTTGTTATTCCCCACAGGTCAACGCGCCATACAGTCTCCAGCAAAAATGCATGACAGGACAAGGGGAATGCAAAGCTTATGACAAAGGGCAGGGGGAAAATGGGAGGAACCCGAGAAGGAAGAAGGCAGAAAAGGAGGGAGCGGCATGCAGGATTAGAGAAATAAAAGTGGCTTTCAGGCAAACTACAAAACCTACATACAGAGGTAGCAACAGTTGTAAAAAGAAGAGTGTACTGTACCATTCATTCAATAGGTGGAGAACTT